TTCATCCAAGGATGCTTGTGGAAAGCGCGGCTTTGGTTTCAACTAGTAAAGTGATTCTTGAAAAGTCAAAAAATGTGAAAAGTTTATAGAAAGAATTTCAGAAAAAGACAGCTAGAAAGACATATATAGAAAGACGCAGGACAACAGGTCATCAGAAAATCTCATTTGACTTTCAGCTCAGTAAATTACATGACATTCAACTTAGAGTGTATTTTTATGCCTAATATACATACACAACTGTCATAGTGGAAATTGAGGCATCGGTAATCTTTGCTTAATTAACGTATAAATGCCTTTCTTTCGCAAATCAGAAGTTTGACCGTGAAATTACATTGGATTTATTTTATCAAACTATATCTTTGAAGTATTAACAAATGTTACCAACATATTTCAGTCTAAACTAGCTTAAGTTTATACAGTATTTGGGATTTGGGCACAAAAATATGAATCGGTTAAAATATGTATCTGAAAATGGCACGTGTAGGGGAAGTATCTCAGCGTTTTGTAAAAACATAGTAATATCACGTGCAACACCCTAATTTTAGGTTGGGTTATAACTATGTACCAAAAAAAGTAGGACAACTTTTACTTTGCCAAATCAATTTTTAACGGTTTGAATTCAGCGTTTCGTAAAAACATTTTTAATAAAAAAGAAAGAAGGATTTTTCCCAGGCATTTTAGTACGTACATGATTAACAGCTACAAAACCTTGAAAACCCCAAATATTGTTAAACTTTTATTAAAAATGCAAAAGCTACAACAAGCTGTTAACTGTCTGAAGAGCGTATATAATTTTCACCCTAAAATTATGTGGTATATCTACAACAAGCTACAACAACTTTAACGTGTGACTACCCACAAAGGCAAATGAAAACATCGGTGCGGATCTAAGTACATCGTTAGCAATGTAGTTCACTTCTTAACTTCAACATTGTACAAGGTTTGATCCAACATTATTGACACAACTGCTAAAAAGATGTTTAAAATCAAAAGTTACAGCAATTTTTTCATGCTTATATACCTCTTTTTATTTTTAGTTTACCTTTTTTTAATATATGCAAAACTTTTGAAATTTTTATGCCCCCTTAAACGAAGTTTCGGGGGTATATACTAGTTTTTGTCGTGTCCGTCCGTCTGTCTGTCTCTCTGTCTGTTTGTCCACAAAAACTTTAACCTTGTCCATAACTTTTGATTTAGTGGAGCCATGATTTTCATATTTCACATGTGTATTCCTTGTGACAAGACCTTTCTTTGGGTACCACCAAATTTGACCTTTTGTCCTTGGAGTTTGACCCACTTTTACATGAAAATTTTAAACTTGGTCATATCTTTTGAACAGTAGATACCAGGACATTTATACTTCACACATGTATTTTTTGTTGAAAGACCTTTCAATGGATACCAACAACCTTGACCCTTTGACCTTGTAAATTTCCGTACTTGTGAAAAAACTTTAACCTTGGCCATAACTTTTGAACGGTAAGGGATAGGGCTTTCATACTTCATATATTTAATCCTTGTGAGAAGACGCTTCATTGGATACCAAGAACTTTGACCCTTTAACCTTGACCTTTGAGTTTGACCTACTTTAAAAAAGTAAACCTTGACCGTAACTTTTAAAGGGTTAGTGCTAGTGCTTTCATACTTTACATATTTAATCCTTGTGACAAGACATTTCATTTGATAACAAGAACTTTGACCCTTTGACCTTGACGTTAGAGTTTGACTTACTTTTAAAAAATTTAACCTTGGGCATAACTTCTGAACGGTTATGGCTAGGGCCTCCATACTCTACATAAGTATTCTATGTGGCAAGATCTTTCATTGAATACCAATTACCTTGACCTTTTGACCTTCACCTTGGAGATTTATGTACTTTTTGAAAATAAAACTTTAACGTTGGCCTATTTTCAAATTTCATAATTGTTTTCCAGTGAGAATACCCTACTTTTGGTACCAATTAATTAAATTTGCATTTAAGAAAAGTTTAATCTTTGCTATGTTGCCATACGGGGGCATCAATGTTTCACAAACACATCTTGTTTATAGATGACCTCAGTACAAGAATGTTACCGACGTTATTTTGTCGATGTTTTTTCGATGACACTCATTTTTAGGTTATCCATGAATCTTTTCAATGTCTCACATCTAAGTTTTTATGCCCCCGTAATCGAAGATTCGGGGGTATATAATTTTTGACCTGCCCATCCGTCTGTCATTCTTTCTGTTTATCTGCAAAATCTTTAATCTTGCCCATAACATTTGAATGGCCTGGGCTATGGCTTTCATATTTCACAGGTTTATTCCTTGTGACAAGACCTTTCTTTGGGTACCACAAAATTTTACCTCTTGACCCTGACCTTGAAGTTTGACCCACTTTTACAAAAAAAGTATCAAACATTAACCTTGGCCATAAATTTTGAACAGTTGGTGCTAGGGCTTCCATACGTCACATGGGTATTCATTGTGAAAGACCTTTCAATGAGTAAAAATAGTTTACCTTTTGTCCCTGACCTTAGAGTTTGACCCTCTTTTAGGAAAACTTTAACCTTGACCATAACTTTTGAATTGTTAGAAAATAGTTCACAGGTGTATTCCTTCTGATGAGACTTTTCTCTGGATATACTAATAATTTTGACCTTCGAATTTGACTTGCATTTTGAAAACTTCAATTTTTGCCATAAGCTGTCATACGGGGGCATCAGTGTTTCACAAACACATCTTGTTCATGTAGAACTCTTCCAGGTTGTAATCGAGCGTCTACGTTTGCGCCATTTTTTAAAGGAACAATATGTTAATTTGTATATGTACTCTCGCTTGTGGGTAGAAGAGCGTAGGGATGGATTTTAATAAATCCAGATCTCCTTCCACCAAGCATTTTCTCATCTTTTGACTTAAATTTACGTGATATTTTATATGCTCCATATCTAATACCTATCTTTGCTTATTCCTTCCCTTAGTTGTCAGTGTTTTTGACATCATGTCTAGCGTTATAAGTCGGGTCGTCAACCTTTTAAAATGAGAAAGGAAAAAGTAAGTGGACTATCAGTCAACCTTTAATAAACGTCACCGACTCTGATCGCACGATCCATTATATCTACAATTAAGAAAAAAATAAATTGGACAAGGTAATAACGTCTATGGCACGCCAAATTCACAAAAATGAGATAAACCTAGTTTCACAATTGATAAACTAGGTTTATCGACTGTAAACTATAGTTTACAAACCGTAAACTATAGTTAACGATTCGTTAAGTATAATTTTCATCTGTAAAACTATATTTAACTGTTGTTAACTATAGTTTACGAATGATAATCTAAGTTTATCTGTCTGTAATAAGCGTTAACAATAGAACGTTTGTTGTAAACTATAGTTAAGAGTTGTTAATCATAGTTTCACAAATCGTGAAACTATATTTATCAGATCGTTAACTATACTTAACGGTTTGTAAACTATAGTTTACAAATCGTGAAACTGTATTTATCAGATAATCTATGTTTTGCAATCGCAAATGATTGTTTTCAGTGTTAAGTATAGTTTACGGTTGTGAAACATAGATTATCGCGTTAACTATAGTTTACAGATGTAAAATATAGATTGACGTTGTTAACTATAGTTTACAGTCCGTAAACTATAGTTTACAACCGATAAACCTAGTTTATCGACTGTGAAACTATGTTTTGCTCATTTTTGTGAATTTGGCGTGCCATAAACGTCATTACAACGTTACGTTTTTGCCTCGCGGTGAATACACAAAATCTAACATTGTGTTTAATTAAATCTTAAAATGTATTATACATTAATGGTTGACTGAATGAAATCTTAATAAAAAATTTTAAATAGATATGGATATTTCATATAAGTATCTAATTTCTTTTGATAACTTTTGATTAATAACGACTTTACAGCAGGTTTGGATCCATCATCGTTTTTTTAGAATTCTGAAGTCTGATTAAATGCAGTTATTTGAGACAATGTGTGAATGTCTTTGATCACATTCTGGAATTCAATTCCCGGAAATTTTATATAAGAAAATATTAAATTGGCCTTCCAGTTTAAACCTGCTAAGCGGATTTGGAGTTTTATCGATTTTTTAAGGCGGATTGAGTAAATGGAACTAATATGATAAAAATGATTCTCCTTCCAATCCAATTTCGTCCTGGGTAGACTGAGCTCATATAATGTCTTCCACAAATGACAGAATCATAATCTTTCGATTTCGAAGACGAGGAAATTTTCATTTGAAATGAAAATTCAGGAACTAATAATTACAGACAACACAGCGGTAAATTTCCTTAGGGAATAGAAGCGACTGTTGGAGGAAATAAACTTCATGAAAACGCTAAATAATACGAAGAAATGCAAAACAAAGGTCTGTAAGAGGTCAACCGCCGAGGCAGTGGTATTAGCTTACAAGTTCAGAGCATTTTATCAGTTAAAACGTTTTATCATAATTAATATCTTCATTACTTCGAGAGATTTTCATACAGTGTAAATGTTATTTGGCCTTTGGGTTTTGAATCTTTTTTATGCAAGTGATGATAAAGAAAGAAGACATCGACAAAAGACATATGATTAGCAGCTGTTTTGTAAATTGGAAGGCACATGCATGACACATGTACACATTTTCCTACACTTGTTAATTCGCGTTTGGCTCTTCTTCACAGACAGATAATGGCCGTTTCCACGGCCGATAATGGTCATAAAGAGAGAAAGATGTACTGTTGTGCACGACTTTATGGTTTCTCGATACCAGATCTACTTAAGATACAGCCAACAAAAACATAAGAAGGCTACTGAAAACCAAGAACACACTGATACATGACGATTGTGCGAACAAGTGCTTTCAATTTACATGTATCAGGAAATGATATTACTTTTTAATTCACCTCTTAAGAAATTGTTTGTGTTCCAAATTAGCGTTCCCATTTAGGACAGATCAGCATCATTTCTCTTGTATACATTGTTTTATATTCCATTAATCAATGTTAATACTCACGGTCTTGTTTCTGTCCATCTGAGCTTAAGGTATACCCCTCCTCACAAGCTCGGAAAAGACCCCCTGTAAATCCTTTGAGGTACACGTCTGTCCCTGAAGTATTTTGAACTATTGTAGAATGAAACTCAATATGCACCCAGTTAGTTGTCGCAACTGCAATAATTTGAAACAAAAATGCTAATAATGTAAAAGCCGTTGATCCGTAGAGAAGTCGTTTTTCTCCACAGAGTGTGGCAGCCATCGTGTTCCCTCTTATGTGCCACGACGTTACAAAAAATAGCAAAGCTGATTGTATTTTTCTCTCCTCACATCTGGAGTTGCATTCCACGAAAATGACTTCTATCGTTCGTATGATAAGCAATTTGCAGCAGAACTGACCACGGCTCTCGTTCAAAATCCTTGCAAATATTATAGAACACAGGAATAGACAAAATGCATGTAGATATATTTAGAAGTGTAAACATGAAGGCATAAAGCCAGGAGATAGGTGTTATCGCTCAGCTATCCACTGTACCACGAGTAACATTATTAGTACTACACTTTACAGAAGTAATGAAAACCACAGGCGAATTCTGTCTACCGTCTGTACCACATCGCGAATTTCACTGTGCACAAGTCGCGCCATTCGTCGCTCCATTTGGCATTTATCAGATCCAAGTGCAACTTAGTAAATATTTTATGTGATCACCACAAAAATAAACCGTCGCTCTTTCGTTTCCATTCCTTCCACTCTGTTGTGAAAATCTATATGGATCTAGAATAAAATATGGAAACTCGTGAAATAGCAGTATGTAAACAAAAGAGAGTGGAGTTAAAATGGTTCAATTACTAGAATTAAATACGAGCAGTTTCACATTACATCTGCGCTTTCAATAATAAAAATTCGATCAGATAAAAACAGATGTCTCTTTGGGGAGAAAACGTCAATAGAAATGACACAGTTTAAAGCATCTATCGGAAGCTACTGAGTTTTAATCTGAGACAATACTGAAACGCAGAGCAGATGTTCTCGATTTCTCAGCAAAATTTCCAATGAAAAAGGCAGCGTTGATTAATCGAAATACATTAATTGTCATAATGACATTTTTAAAAACAGATGCTAGCTTTCATATTTGATTAATGTCATGTCATGTTTCTTGTTGTAGCATGTCTCAAACCTGAAAAAATTAATTAAAGATCTTGACCCTACATAACTTTTACATTTAATTATAGTTATTCAGATAAAGAAGTAAAAAAAAACCTTGAAATTTACAAATGAATACAGAGAGAAAGGGGGAAATATAATTAAATACAAAAGGAGTTGAGAAATATTAATCAATAGTATACGCAAAATGAAAATTCACACATAGACAAAATAAATGTTATTGCTTATGAAAATGTGTTATTCATCTTATATCTTGTAAAAATAATATGATGTTGAGGGATTTTCTCTACGTATTTTTTAATGACCTTCGTACAATCATGTCTATAACCACGTTAACGTTATATTATACAATGAAATATATGACCTATAATCTGTATTGGATATGGGTTTACTATTCAAAATAAGATGCTAAAAATAATTTGGTAGATGTTTTATATCTACTAAAGAGATATAATTTTAGGCGTTGAGAGGAAAGAAGCTAGAAGCACGATGTTTGTGCACAACTATGTTTTTTTCTGATTGTCGATATGTCAATGGTGTCTGTTGCATCTAAAAATAGATAAAGTGTTGGGCCTGAAAACAAGGCTCGATTGATGAAGCCCCCCCCCCCCCCAAATTGTCGCAGCAGTCAATCCGAAATCTTTAATTTGGAGATTTAAAAAGGAAGGGGATCCATAATAATTCATGATTTGCCGTTGCTTGACGTAAGCAAAGTATTTACGTAACATTCGGTATTGTTTTAAGGATAATACTGATGAAATATATATGGAGTAACCGAATGGTACTCAAACTCATAGTCCAATGCAACAATACCAAACTGGGAGCAGAGCAAATACGGATCAAGTGCTATGGAGGAGAGAGCATCCCCTACCGACCGGTCAGGCCCGTTGTATGCTTCTTGTCATGATGACGGGAAAAGAATCGTTGACAATTCAGTGTGTAAAAAATGGCCTACATTTAGTATGAAAAACGTCAGTCAGCATTTGACTCAATGATAGGTTATATTTGCTAACTATATAACTGAAAATGATGACTTCAAACAAGACTGTTGATATTTTTGTTTCATCAACCTTTTTGTCAATATCTTGCCTCCTTTAACAAAACAAACTGTTCATCCTTACCACAACATGTTCTGATTTTGATTTGAAATAACATAAATAACAAATCTAATCTAGGTTTTCCTGATATGAGATTTTGTTTTGCCTTCTATATAATTCCATACAAAATTTTGATATAATCTTCATATGCAGGTGACAAGGTATATATATATCACTGCTATAAATAGTAGATGACGATTGAAAGGCTGATGTCGTCAAGTTTATCATGAAGCTTTGTAATTAAGTTTCCATTAACATCTTCTTCTAGTAAAATATCCAATATGAACCAGATATGTAAGACAGTGTGTTTTACATGAATCAAATTTCAAACTTACTGGGATATATCGAATCAACACGTGAATGGGAGTGACCATTGATATATCGAAATGTCGAGTTGAAGGTCACAGCTAGTGCTTTCTTCTTGTCATGTAGAGCTCATGTAGAATACAGTCACTTTGTTTCATGTGAATATAAAAATACACGTACATCTGCTTATTAATGGGGCGTAGTTGATACCCAAGAAGATTCTAGATTGTGGATGATCTGATCTTCAAAACCTACTTCTTTTGAACGCAATAATTATTGTGATTAAACACAATAAAAAATATTTCTTTATCTGAACTGGCATCAACGGGCTTCCGTAAAGAAGCACTTTTTTAAACTTATTAATGAAACTAGCAGGTATTCTGATAAAAGAAACCCAATCCTCAAAATTTTCTTGCATAATGTATACATTTTTAGTTAATACAAGAATAAAATAATAATAAATAAATTGACTAAAGTGACTGATGAAAAAAAAGCATTCCGTCCTCTTTTTGAAACAAACAAACAAAGACAACATTTACATTGCAAAGGACAAATTCTACTCATTCCTACCTAATGGATACTGTTTAGTACAATAATGAATCTTTCTATTTGTTTTACGTGGTATTCATTCCAAAAAAGCCTTTAAGAAAAGCATATTTTTGCATCAAGCACGCATCATGTCTTTTTTAGAATAATAATCCCATCTTTTAGACGTGTTTCCTGCAACTAAAACCGTTTGGTACTTAAAGTTAGGATTGGTATTTATTTAAAACAATGTGAATTAATGACTTACAGAATCTTTTCTGTGTCCGTTTGGTTTGAATCACATCACATACATTAAAGGTTATATAAAAACATTCTAGGTAATCCATGTCTGCAATTCTGTTATTTGTCCACATATTTTCCCTATCCTATATTCTATTATTAAAAAAAACTACAAGATAATTCATTTTTTCTGAATTTTGTTAGATAAATCGTTAAAACAAACCAATTTCTTTTTCTAAATTACACGATATATATTCTACTTCATTTTTGCATGCTATTTAGATTGTTTTTTGAGATGAAATCTTTGTATAATGATACGAGAAAATTATTTAGCAAAATTGAATGATTTTTCCCCATCAATTTCTGAACAATTTTTCTTATTTTGATCTAAACCACACACAGTAATGAAATGTCGGTTTTCTGATGAATTTAATGGGACTTCGGAGAATTTCAGCTTGATGCCAGCTATCTATTTTTATGGCAATTTGCGTCTTTTAAAAAAAAAACGGAATTCGTTTCCAGCAATGTCGAGCAATTCTTTAGATGGTTTTGTTTCCATAGATGACGCTGTTCCTTCTTCTGACTCATTTTATTTTTATGAGATTTTTGTTTCTGAAATAATTATAAAAAGGAAAATTAAACTTTCGTGCCTACACGAAGAAAAGAGAATTTAAAACGCAATTTTCATAACATGTACTTTTAAAAACCAAACTCAGTCTTTGAAAACATTCATTTTAAAATAAATTTTCTTGTTATACTTATAATTAATTTTTGAAATAAAATTAGCGCAAAGACGACAGCATCTCTCAATCTCAATTGTATGTTGCATCTTCTACAAATACATGCCTATATATTTTTCTTTGTTTTGAATATGTTGTAGTCAAGTTCAAATATCATCAATTCTGGTGAATTTTCTAAAGACTTTTCATCAACACAATAAGCTTTTTTGCTTTAATCTTCTGGTTTCAAAGAGATTTTTTTATAACTGTTATTTTTCAAGTCATGAAAAGATAGAAATATACTATCTCATCAATTCATTTAAAAAAAATTAAATTCTTTTCGGCCAATGGTATTGTTTTCATTTTGCTTTTTTTTTTTTTACGAATCAATATTGTAGTGGCATGCATATATGCCAGTAATAAACTTATCGATTATGTAAAAAAGAGAGATAAGAATGTACTGAAAAATGTCATGTATAATAGTCTCTCTCTCTCTCTCTCTCTCTCTCTCTCTCTCTCTCTCTCTCTCTCTCTCTCTCTGGCCTCAGACTCTCTATATAATGCACACTAACTCAAAAGTTCTAAATATGTAAAACGTTTACTTCTATCCCTTTAGAGAGATCAACTCTAAATTAGAAAAAAAGAAAATTGAATGTTTAAATGAATTGCTAAGTTTGTAATCATTTCAACTATATATACGGCACATTTTATTGACAATATCTTTCTGTGAGTATTGCCTTAGCATGTTAGTCACCTACCGGAAAGTGTTATCTAGAAATTAAATGGTTCCCATTAAAAAGGGAATTGTTATATTTCAGTCCAAAATTGTTGAAGCGGAGAGAAAATGCAAACTTGATCTATAACTCACCAAAAAGTCACATTCCAAAAATATGCACAATTTATGCAAATGTTTAGAAAAAATAGCATAAAACACCTAGAAATTAAAAACGTAATTCTTTCAAAAAATCTTTGAAGCGGAAAGAAATGCAATCTTGATCTGAAACTCACCAGTACAATCACATACCAAAAATCAGCCCAATACCTGTAAGCATAGAAAAAAAAGTGTGGAAAACCAAGTTAGACAAATTGACAGAAGGACAGACAAATAGCTAGGTTAAAGCGGACGGACAGGCGGACGCAGAGGAAACCTTTAGTTTCCTTTGTTTTCGCCGGGACGGGACAAATTAAAAGAAAACGTTACTTGCATTCATTTTTTTCATCAATAAATTAATGTCTTACGTAATTAAAGCATTTAATTTTAAACAAGATTTTTATAAGAATTATTCGAAAATGGTATCTATGGAAGATTATTATTTTTAACACCTGTGAAAAAAAAATTTATTTTTTAAGTGTCCAAAATATCATTTTAAGAAATTAAGAACAAAACACCCCTTATAAGCTACATGTATGCACACAAAACTTTAATTCATGCCGCGGTAGAATAAACAATACAAACTACGCATGCATAAACAAACACTTTCAATACTCTTGGGACACCAAATGTCCATTGCTTTGGATCAATTTGATTAAAAACAATTACCCAATTAAATTGATAGGATTGTGCAATAATATTAATATTCCTGTGAATATACAATACAGGAACATACTTTTTTAATTACAGAAATGCATTGACTCAAGATGCCTATAATAAAATATCCGGAAACTTTGCCAAACAGAAATATAATGTTGTAGAGTGTACGGTGTTTTCGGTGCT